TAAATAATAAATAGGTAAGTCCTTATTTGCTAGTGATATTGAAAGTTTTATCTTACCATTTTTAGATGAGACAGTATAAATTAACAGTTGAAGAATGAGGGCTCTGGAAGCTGACTGAGGTTTTAATTCCAAATTAACATCTAGGTTTTAATCTGAGGTGGCCCTTACCTCTTGGAGCTTCAGTTTCCTCATCTGTAAAGTGATAAGCATAACAACTGTATTTACTTCATAGAATTACTGTGAGGATGAAAAGAGCTAACAGATGTAAAATGCTTATTCTTAGCAAAGTACCCGGCATATTGTAAGCACTTCGTAACTGGTACTTGTGGTGGTGAAGTTGGTGGTGATATTTGTACTAGAGATCAAGTATAAAAAATTATAATGTGAAAAATTATTTATTTAAGAGCTCAGGGAGCTTTGTTTTTGAAAGATAGCCAAGAACATTTTGGAGCTTGTTATACTTAATGTGTTCTAAGGTATTAAGAGAAAAAAAATCTTTTAATTAACTTTACCCTTCAAAAATCTGGCCAAATAAAATGGAATTATCCCAATTAAGTCTTCCCCACCTCATACCTTCCTTTTCCTCTTTACCCCAGAGAAGTGCATTGGTCAGTTCTGGCTTGTCCAAAAATCCCTCACTGTTCTACTCTCCTTCCCCCAACCTATTTGGCACCAGTGGGAAAGCAAGCAATTTCCTGCCATCCATTCTGCCCATAACCCAGGGTTGTGATGGTGACAATGCCAAGAGTCCGTACTCCTCCCCTCAGAGCCCATATTTCTACCCACAGAGGAGCTCTGAGTTGAGGGCCTCTCATAGCTCACTGCATCTCTGAAACCCCTACATACTCCTCAGGTACTTGGGAAACAAGGTCACCATTTCTGAAACTTGAGGAATTTTATAATCCTGTTATCTCTTACTGGCTCAGATGGCAAGGGAGAACAGAGGGAGTATAAATTTTTGGCCAAGTTTCTTTTATATACCTTTCAAACTAAAACCCTGGCATCATAGTGACAGTTTGAGGAGCTCAATTTATAGGTATAATAGGCTTTTATTTAAAGAATGTATTAAAATCAGCAAATAATACCACATCTGATAATTATCTCTTCTGGTGGAAATAGCTAATGATATATGAAAGCAAATATTCAGTCACTTTATTGTTTTTTTAGAGTAATATTCAGCCTGTCACTCAAATAACTTTAAGGGTTTTCTTTTGTTTCTATATTACTGCCCTTTATTCATCAAATGCTTGCAAATGCAAAGTAGAAAGTGTATATCATTAATCTGAACTCTAATCTTTATAATGAGACCATATGCAAAACTCAATTTTACATATCACATAAATAACAGAAAATGCAGTAAGAGAAAAATTGACACTTAATATCCTAGTTTACAAAGCACCTTTACATATATTATCTCACAACCTACATCTCTGTAAGATAATCAGGACAAATATTTAAGTTTCTTCATTTCACAGAGAACGAAGTAAGGCTCAGAAACTTTAAGGTAATATTCAAGTTCATGGTTCCACTTACTGGGTGAGCTCAAACAAGTTGCTTAATCACTCTGTGCGATTTCTTTAATTGTAAAACAGAATAAAAATAGTGCTTACCTCACAGGGTGTATGTGAAGATGAAACGAGTTATTATACCTAAGGCATTTAGAACAGTGGTGCATAGTAGATACTCAATAAATGTTAGCTATTAGCTGTTATTACCACACAGTTAGTAAATGTTAGAACTTTGACCCAAATCCAAACCTTCTGATTCCTAGTCTAGATCTCTTTTCATAGTACCACGTGGAATTTCCCTTTTAGTAAATCATTGATTGAATTTCCATCTCACATTGACCTTGTTATTCTTGAAGGGATCTTTTTCTACATTGTTTACTTTGACCTTAAATTTCTGAAGATCAAAAAGGAAATGTGTTTGAAGGCTTCTTCCTTCCTGATTTTTTTTAATACTCTAATTTCTGTTGTCATCTGGGTTTGGTTGACCTTGAGGTATCCAAAGTTATTTTAGTAGGTGAAGGTATCATAAAGTTGTTTTCCTCAGTGATTTTGGGTGTTTATGGTGATTTTGTTTTGGTTGGAAGGCTAAAGTAGGAAGTAGGATTGAAGGAAGTTCTTGGACTTGAATCACACTCCTTGTGTGTAGTGCTAAGAGAATATTGTCGTTACTGAAAGTGGCAGCTTGCTGATCAGGGAGTAGAGATGATTGTTGTAAAAGATCATTTGTTGTAAAGAGTCACCGTAAAATATTACGTGCCATTCCCTGGCAAAGGATAAGAAGTTGTTTGTAGATATTTTTCTTGGTAATAGTATTTGTAGCAGGCTTTTACTTGTGAATCCCAGTTGTTTTTACTCTGTCTACTGCCAATGTTAGCATTTTTGGCTGTGAGATAGGCCTGAGTGAAAATCTCTGTGCTTCTGTGGTAGCTACTCAGCTACTATGTGGAGACTCCCTCCCTACCCTCTGATGCCCAAGTCGAACCCAGTTTGGGATTTGATGCAGAAGATTGCAGAGGGTGGGCAGCAATGTGCAGGAAGGGTACAGTCAGCCTGGTGGCCTTTCAGAGGCAAGGAGCTGGAGAAAGCTCCAGCTCACTGAGCACGCCCATCCCCAGGCCGTTTTATGTGCCTGTGCACAATGTACCCAGACAGGGTCCTCTCCAAGAACAAGATATCCAGTATGCCTCTTAGGATCTTTTTGGAAGATCTGTACCAGGATTTAACTTGGTGAGCAAGGAGGTTTGAGAGGATATGCTAAGACTTCCTCTTGGTGATATTTGCATTTTTTAACCCATTCATCTCTAATATTCTCTTTGGCAAGTGCAGTTAATGTTCTCACATTAAAAGAAAACACAGAATTTTTAATAGATTCCCTAGGGCTTAGTGATAGTTTGATACTGTTTGTAAAAGAGAGAATATGAAGAAATGATGTATTATCTTTTCTAGTTTTACAGTTAGGTTTTATTTTTCTTGCCTGGACATCTGCTGAATCCTCTGACCCATCCAGCCTGGGAGCAAAAGTCCAGGAAACAGCTCTGGGTCCTGCCACATAGGCAACCTCCCTCTTGCAGCTACATCCCCACTCCTGTGGGCTTGGTCTTTTCCCCTGTGTGTGTTGGCTTTTGCCTGTTGCATTGGTCACTCAGTGTGCTGGGTAGTGGTTGATCTTTTTCCTGCTCTGTTTGCCTAGATGCTCTGTAGTAGATGAGGAATTGGGACAAAGGATAAAAAAAGAGTACCCGTTATTTATTATCCTCTGCCACTGTCATTATGTGCTGTCCAGGACTCCAGAGAGCTTTGCTTCTAGGCCAGTCGATTAACATCTTTGTTTAATGGGTGAGAATCTTCTGAATATGAGGGTTCTTATTATTCTCCACCACTTACATCTTTCTGGCATGCAGTGCACCAGGGGAGAACCGTATTGGTGATGGTTTCCTTTAAGGTCAGTACCCAGGACCAGGAGTGGAGGTGACAGCTGAGAGATTTAGCAAAGCTAAAGGGTTTGTAGAGAGGTTGAGTAATTGAATACCAGGCTTACACTAGCTCAAGATGGGCCTTTGCTCAGCTGCCATTCATGAGTGCCAGTGTGGCAACAAGCACCAGATTTGGCCCTTTGAACATGTATTGTCCTCTTTGAAGTCTTTGCTGATTCTCTCGAGTCAGATGCCTTGCTCCTCTGGGCTCCCACGGCACTTTTTGTCCCCACTTATCTCCCTCAGCTTTGTAGCAAGTAGTTAATTGTCTAAATGTCTGTTTCTTCTGCCACATAAGTCTCTTGACAGCAGGAACTAGTCTCACTCATTTCAGTTTTCTCATAATGTATAGAATGTGTCCCACTTGTTAACAGTTGCTCAGTAAATCTTACTGATTCTGTGTGTGTGTGTGTGTGTGTGTGTGTGTGTGTGAGGAAGATTGTCCCTGAGCTAACATCTGTGCCAGTCTTCCTCTTTGTGCTTGACGAAGATTGTCCCTGAGCTAACATCTGTGCTAGTCTTCCTCTATTTTTTGTGTGGGATGCCGCCACAGCGTGGCTTGACAAGCTGTGTGTAGGTCCACACCGAGGATCCAAACCTGTGAACCCTGGGCCGCCAAAGTTGGAGCACATGAACTTAGCCATTACACCACAAGGCTAGCCCATAAATCTTACTGATTTTGAACTGAACAAAGCTGACTGTGTCTGTGGAAATCCTGCAGTTAGCATCCATGTTTATACATCGTGTACTCTGCCATGAGACAGGAGAGTATCCTTGGAGAAACAGCATTATCATCAGAAGTAACATGTAAAATACACTAGCCTATTGTTGGGCTTTTTTTTTTTGGATAACCTTTGTTGAGATATAGTTCACATACCATACATTTCACCTATTTAAAATGTACAGTTCAGTGGTTTTCAGTATGTTCACAGAGTTATGCAACCATCACCACAATCAATTTTAGAAAATTTTCGTCATCCCAAAAAGAAACCCTGTGCCTATTCTCTCTAGTCCTCCAGCCCTAGGCAACCACCAGTCTATTTTTTGTCTCTATAGTTTTGCCTATTCCAGACATTCCATATAAATGGACTCATGCAATATGTAGTATTTTGTGACTGGCTTCTTTCACTTAGCATTATGTTTGCAAGGTACATCCATATTGTAGCATGTGTCAAGCCTAAAGCTTGGTGGAAGTTGGAGGGCAGGTGCTACTTGTTTCCTGGCCAGTAGTTCAAGAATGGTGAGTCTGCCTGGTCTCATTAAAGATGACTGGATCTATTTAGTGGAAATTCTATAGAGGTCTTCTGAACTTGCTCCCCTGAGTAAATATCTATGAGCATCTAATACAATGGCTGGCACATGAGGGTCTCAGTGGCTGTTACATCCCTGTGTCCTGCTTCAGGTTCTTAGATTATAGTAAGAATTTGCCAAAGTGAAACAATAGATAAATTTTTAATTGGTACTTTGAGTTTAATTTACTGATTCCTCCCCCCACCTTTTTGTTTTTGTTCTCCCCAAGGTTATGCCTTTCTGCTGTTCCAGGAAGAGAGCTCAGTACAAGCTTTGATAGATGCCTGCCTAGAAGAAGATGGGAAACTGTACCTGTGTGTGTCAAGCCCCACCATCAAGGATAAACCGGTAAGTAATATGCAGCTAACTATTGCTTTTCCAGAGCACATGTACAATTGGAATAGCTCATCGCCTCCTTTTTCTAATGGGAATGCTGGTAACTGGGATCCTCTTACCCAGCGTGACCTTGCTATGCAGTAGAGCTGGACTGTTGTTGATGGGAAGCTAGTAACAAATTATTCAGTATTTCGTTTTATACCTTTGAGACTGCACGTAAACAAATGTGCCCTTGTGTTTCACTTTACAGCTCTTTTAAGCTAATTCCTATTCAGAGACTCTGAATTGAAGTAAATAATGCTCTTAGTGGTTTTGGCAGCTGGTTTCTGTCATTATTTCAGACCAAGGACAGGAGTAATTTATTTTTTTTTTTAAAAAAAGATCATAATTGTCCATGTTTATGTGCCTTTGAATGCAAGGCATTGTGCTGGGTGGTAACCACAGCTGGCTAAATAGAGCCTTCTGGGCCAGGAGCTTACACTCTAAAATGGATACCTTTAAACAGGGTAGGACAGGGGAAGGACAGAGAACATGGACTCAAAACCATAAATACACATACACTTATACAGAGTTTGTGGTATTTGAGCCAAAGAGTGTGAGTGAGTAAGTCACTGGATAAGAGAGGAAGACTGCTTCTTTTCTCCTGGCAGAGGGTGTTATCAGTGGAGAAGGGGCAAGACTATGTTCAGAATAGAAGAAAAGAGCTTGGTTAACATGGCAGAAGTAAGGATCCATGGGAAGTTGGGACGGGGGTGAGTTTGTGTGTCAAGACTTGATGCTTGGAGTAGGGAACAGAATAAAAAAGTGTTGTGGACCAAGGGACCAAGGCAAGTGTCTGTAATGAGGCCTGAGGCATCCTCTGTAAGACTTACACCAGAGGTGTGGAGCTTGCTTGGCAGCTAGGTTTATTCTCAGAAATGTGCATGGGGAAAGACTTGGGGTCAGACATAGAAGTTCCCGGTTTGAGTCTTGACTCCAGCATATAAATATTTACTTGACTCTGAATGAGTTACCTAGTCCTTGCTGAATCTTGGTTTCCTCATCTATAAAATGGTTCCTCTCTTGGATGTTGAAAGGCTCAGATAAGAGGAAAATGAATGTGAAAGCATTTGCTGAGGTCAGGTACTTGTGCAGACATAACTGGATGGTGCTACATAGTGCTACATATTAGTCCTACATAGTGCTATACAATTCAGGAGAGCAAGGTTAGAGCTTATCTACACGGTAACATCTGTTGAAAGAATGCTGACTTCTAGAACAGGCTTTACAATTGATTGCAAAGGAATGATTCTGGGACTTGACCACCTATAAGGAGGAGACTACAGCGGGTAAAGCAGAAGAGAGAGTTACTAAAGAATGGGGATATTGAGGCCTAGTAGAATAATTGATGCAGAAGCAGCAGCAAAGATTTTAGCAAGTATAAAGGTGCCACTGTAATTTTCAAATTCTGGGGCCATTACCAAATTTTTCTAACAGCAGTTAACAGCATTGGATAGGATAGTTGTAGAGGAGGGGAAAACAGTAGGAAGCAGTAGGTGGGGAAAAAAGAGTAGGGAAATTTTGTTAAGTTTGGTCTTAATTTAAACAGTGTGGAGAGGCTGCGTGTTATGAGGGAGATGTGGGGACTGACTAGAATGGGAGTGTGCAGTGTTTTATCTGAGTAATAAGAAAGCTGAAATAACTTCTCTAAATCTCTTTGGAATAGTGTGAGATTAGAAAGACTGAACCCAATTTGGCAGGGTCTGATGTCTGAGAAGTAAATGGTTAACTTCCAGAGAGCCTCTACCACTGGCACATCAGTAGAAGGGGAGTGGGAGTGAGCCAGGAAGGGTTATGGTGGGATTGTTCATGCACTGTAGGAGAGGATTGGAAATATATTTATATATATAAAAAGGCAGAGGAGTAGAGGCACACATTGAGATGGTTCTGCCCATAGTGGATTAAGAAGCTGTCGAATTGAGGGGAGGAGACAGGAGATAAGCAGTGGGGCTCATGTACCTTGGAAGGGTCATGTCACTGGCTCTGTTTGAGTAGGAGGATAATATGCCTTGTCAGGTAAGCCCTCACCAGGACTGGACATCTTTTGAGAGGAGAGTGAGCAGTTGTGGTTGCAGATGGAGGTGGTATGGAGGCCACACCAACACTGTTGAGTGTTTTCACTCTAAACAAATCTCTTACCCTTGACTTGAAGGACTTCTGAAAATAATTAGTGTAATTATCTGTTTTGGAAATGTCTATAGGGAAACTAACTTTCATTGTTTGTGTTTTTACAAATTTCTGCCTTATTGCAGTTTTCGTTTTCTGAGCTCAAGGGAAGCAGTTTTATTGGAGCTTGGTGAATTCTGAATGGTGGCTGCTGATCACATATTTCTTTGACCCAGTCATACTCATAATTTCCAGCATAAACAATTTGAATAAAACTTTGGATGGGAAACATAAAAGTCCCCAAATACCTGTAGTTCTAATGAACTGGATCCTGTTTGGGGTTCCAGCTCTTTGGGCTCCATTTCTGAAACCTCTTTCTTGGCTTCAGTTCCACATCTGCCGTTCCCAGCCTCATTTGGCCGCACTACCCTATCCAGGTTGTGGTACATCCTGCCTCATTTTGGAGGCTCCCACAGAAAGTGAGAGCTGGGTTGAACCTTTGGGAGTAAATGAGGACCTTGGCAATAGCTCAAGGTAAAGTCAACCCTTGAAGCTTGTTCACCAAACCTTCTGAACTGTGGCTCTTTCTCATTTATTCTGCTTCTTAGCTTGGCTGCCTTTCAGGATCCTAGTGCCCTCATTCTGTTGTTTAGCTCTCTTTGATCCTCCGTGGGTTTCTCCTTGGAAATACATCATGTTCTAAAATGAACTCAGATTTTCTATCTTTTGTTCTTCTCCCTTACCCCTTACCCCAAATCAAACCCCCACTCCCTTTGGGTGGATTAGGTTAATCAGATTGTTTTCCTAATCCAGAGCCTGGTAGAAAGTTCCCCTCACTTATCCTTTCTATGATCATGTTTGTTTTTTAACTTAAACAAATCCCTAATTAGTGAATTTTAGGTAGTGTTAGGGAGATATTTTTGGTCAGTGATTACCTTTCATTAAATGGCTCCACTCAGACTATTCTACGTATAGATCTGATCCTGAAATATGGCAAAAGAAACTGTATTTATAGCCTGGTTAATTGAGACCTCAGTCCCAAACAATGGGAAGACAAATTGGCAAGAGCAGGAGCCATTGTAAATCTTCTAGATCTGTGATATTTTTTCCTCCTCCAGCAAGAGGAGTTGCGTAGTTCATAGTCCGAGGCATCCCAGAGGATAGCTGTGTCTTTGTCCAGGCTTCCAGTGAAGTGGACAGACGTAGTGACAGTGGTCCGTCTTATTAGGGTGACTCCACTTTTTGAATATATAAATAGACTGAACCTGAAGTTTTAAGACAGCAAACTGATAGAAGAGGAAACTTAAGAGAGTCTAACAGATTTAGCAGCTGAAGAAGAGTAACCTTGAAAAGGAGGTAAGGAAGGAGATGTTTATGGTTCTTACCTTCTATAACACTTTGGCCAGAGATATGGGATAGCAAACACCTTGAAAGGAGTATTAGAAAAGTTTCCTACTCCTTCTCCTTATGATTTATAGCACAATCACAATTTATAAAGGTCCTGAAATATGACAAATTGATTTTGCTGTATATTTAAAAATTGTTTTACCAAACTGAAGTGTGCTTATAAGCTCAGTTCATTAGGTTATTGCTCAGGTAACATGATCATCCACTTAAAATTTGAAAAACAAAAATTGAAAAAATTTTGGGAGCAAGGAAGCTGGAAATAGAGGCTGGTTTAATTCTTTAATTTTTAATTCTGTCCAATCTGTCCATCATTCTGGTCTTTGCTACCCCCATTTATATATCAATGGAATCTCTAGCAGTTTTAATCACTCCTCTTTAGTTACAAAAAGAGTCCAGATCCTTTGCCTGGAATTTAAGATCTTCTAGCCTGACATCAAATGTTTTTCCAACCTTACGTTTTTCTGCTTTCCTTCTGAACCCCATGTTCCAATCAACTGAACTATTTCCTCTGCCATCTCAGTTTCTAATTCCTACCTACCCTTATTTTAAGACCCCTCTCACATGTTATCTCTTTCCTGAAGCCTTCTCTGATCACTATGCCATCTATAGCAAATCATACCAGCTATTATAGCTGTCTCCAGTCCATATACACCTATCTTTTTAAACAGTGTGCCTCTCTTCTTTCCTTCCTTCAAACCACCGTTGAATGCCTACTGTGGGCAAGGCATTGTACTGGTTACTATGAATTAGAACTTACTATGAATCGCACATAAAATCCTGTGTTCAAAAAGTTAATAGTGTAATGAGTAGATAAAACAAGTATATAAATACACAGATCTTATAGAGACTGCACATAAAAGGTTTTCAAGTATTTGTCAAATTAAGAAAAATAACAAATACAATGAAGATGAGATATAGACTAAGTACTTTGGAGAGTTTATATACACCTGGAGTGATGAAAGAAAGCTTCTTGGGTGAAGTGTCATTTGAACTAGACCTTGGAGGATGAAGAGAGTTTGGAGATTGGCCAGGAGAGGGGTGGAGGTGTGGAGGGGTAGAGAAATAGACATTTCAGAGAAAGGCAACAGTATGAACACAGAAATGAGAAATTGTGCAGTATGAATGAAGAACATTTAGGTGGGTTAGATGGAGCACAAATATATGAAAGGGGGTAGAGAGAAATTAAATTGAGAAAAATAGGGGGCTATGTTTTATAGGGCATCTTGATTGATGGCCTGACTCCTTGGATTTGTGGTATATTTATTCAGACTTTTTCATTCTTCACCTAATACCTCCTAAAATAATACTGTAATTTTATCTTGGGTCGGTCAAATCTGGTTTTGTCATATCTCACCTTGGAAATCTTCAGCACTTCTGATCTTGTTGATTTATTTATTTGTTCTTTGATTCCATGATCTAAATTCGTGGTTTGGACACCTGTCATCATAGGAATTTCTCCA